AAAAAAAAGGCCAAAGATTGAACTTCTAAACATGAAAGTTCAGGTACACACTCACACGCTCAACACAGTTGTGCTATTTTATTTCAGCAGAGACAGAGCACACTTTTAAAGGGATTCAAGTTCAGAAGCTCATGCTGAAACTTGAACAAGAATGTAATAATGAACTAAAATGAGAATCTATTAATACAACTAACTCATCACGGTGAACAAGAATGGCCACAGACGACCTAAGCCTTCCAAGCAATTCTCACAAAAAGGTTGGACATCGAGTATCGACATACAGGAATGTCCAAGCTGTTTTCTTCGGGTTCTGTGGTTACTTCCCTTACATCAGACACTTCAGAAGAATGGGGATTATCCCACTCAGTGTCCCCCACTGTAGGGATATCGACAACCTCGTCATCCAACTCAACAATGTTCTCTGTAACCGGTATTAGATCTGTATCACTTACGCAAGCTTTATCAACATTATCATCTTCCATGTGCTTTGAAGCAGTAGAGCAGAGCTCCGAGCTCTCTTCACAAACCTGTCTTGTGCTAGTCTCTTGCCTGCTGAAAAAACATATATAATCTACCATTAAGCTGGCTCTAAAAGAATCTAGTTTTGAGAAACTTCCAACTGGATGAAAACAAAAGAAAATCAAATAATTATGGACGCCAAACCTTTGTATTTGAGATTGTAGAGCATCCACAAGGGCTAGGAGATCCTCCTTTTCTTTGATGGCAGACTCAAGTCGGCTCATGGCTTCTTTTATCCGGACGTCAGCATCTGCTGCTGAGACCCTAGCTTTCTCTTCAGCTCTGACAACAGCTGCTTCTAGAATTACAGCATTTCCTCTAGCTTTTCCAAGTTCCGAGCGCCACATCTGAACTTCTTGAAGAGCAGAATCTCTCTCTGTAAGCAAACGATCTCTCTCTTCAACAAGAAGCTTTGCTTTCTCCTCCGATTCCCTTAACTGAAACACAAATAATGACAACTTCAAATTTTTCATTGACATGAAGCATGTTCATGGTGGTCTGTATCTAATTTATAATTCTGTAACAACTAATAAGCGTTAGAAGTTATGTGTATTGCATTCGATGGTTACCCTAAGCAAAGATGCTTCAACTTGTTTCTCATGGTCTTGTTTCAGACGTTCAAGTTCTGACGTAAAAAACCTTCTCTCTTCATCAATTGAACGTGCCGCAGAAGCAGCAGTTTCAGCTGCTTCTGCAGTCTCCCGTAATTTATCCGCAATCTCATTGATGGTAGAATCGCGTGCACGAATATCCTGCAACAATTGGTGGAGTTCATCGTCTTTAACTCGAAGGGTCTCCTGTTGGTTGCAGATGCATTGCCATTGACACAAAAATAGAAACAAGAAAACAATTTCAGTATCCAATGATCAAACTATAACATATTATAATTTTAGAAGTATCGCTTTGAAGACAGACCACAAAGTTATTCATCATATCAGCAGTGAATGCTTTGTTATACATGATAAGTTTATTGTCAACTTCTGCATCACAGGATTACAAATCAGTTTTCAGTCAGTCAGTGAACTTTTCTGAAGTAATTTTGATATATATATATAATCCAGCTATAGCAACAGGGTGATGGAATATATCTCCAGTTAGTTGCAGCAAATTCAGTATGCCAGGAAATTGGTGGTAACTGACAGAATTCCTGTTGATTTAGCAATATTTATGCTAATTCGGGAAAACAAAGTTATCTATACAGAGTAATATAGTTTTGAAGGGCGGGCCTGGTGCAAGCGGTAGAGTCTTACCGCCTGTGACCGGAAGGTCCCGGGTTCGAGTCGCGGTCTCCTTGCATTGCATAGGCGAGGGTAAGGCTTGCCACTGACACCCTTCCCCACACACAACACAGAGCGGGAGCTCTCTGCACTATGTACGCCCTTTTTACAGAGTAATATAGTTTCTCACAGTGCATAAATAGTTTCAGCAACTGGATTTTTTTAGCAGTATTATGTACATCAGCATTCAGCAATTCTAGCATTCACTGCTCAATTACTGAATATTAATTCAGGTACTCTTATGTACAAGTAGTATATGGAAGAGCATACCATCATTATTGTGAGATCATCTAATTGACCTTTGGTCAATTTATTTGTAGTTGAGCCCAAAGCTGCCCGCAGGGAAATCTTCATTGCAGCTTCTACCTCCTTTGTTGCTTCAATTGCAGTGGCATTAGCTACAGCCACAACTGTTGCAACTGTTCCCAATTTTGCAGGACCATTCTCACCCAATGAATTCACGGCCTCCTTATGAGCCTGTAGAACCAACTGAGTCGCACTGCATATGAAGCAAGAAAAATATTACTAGGGTTCAAGGTCTGCAGATATAACAGCAGTACACAAAATGGGAAATGACAGATCTGTGCACATGGGATATATCATACATCAACCAAACGAAATTAAAGGCAAGGGATATTATATATAATGAGGCTATTGTAAAGCCATAACCTATATAGTTCTACGTTATATTGCATTAATTTAATAACACATTATGCATGGCATGTTTCATCAATGAGAGAACCAAGTGAAACCCTTTGCATGATGCTAGAAGCAACTGTTTCTTTGTCTCACTTTGGAACAATAAGCACCAGTAGCACTAACTATTTACAGGAAGCTTTCCTAATCATTGTAGAGCACCAAATAGAGCAGAATTTACACATTTCTGATTCTGAATTTAGAAATGACACACAGCAAAATAGCAAGGTGTTTCACATGTGCTAATTTTCTAACCCCTAAAGCTGGGAAGTGTTTACACATAAAAAGTCTACTCCCTCCATCCTGGAATACAATGAATCAAAGCATTCAAAAATTTTCTAGAGGCTAGGGAGGAGGTTTATTTTCAGGATCATTCTCACCCGATGCTACTCCCTACTCCTTAGCCTTCTCTAAATCCACTGACCACAGCCACCATGCATGCACTTTAATGAGTAAATTCCATGAATTTCCATTTAAATAAACCTACTGCTAAAACATTTGTGTGATTTGCCATGTAATGTGTGTGGTAACTAAGCAAGCCTTCTCTAAATCTGCCAATCACAGCCATCATATATGCATGAACTAAATAGATCAGAGTTTAAGTCAAGGATGCATGTTCTTCCAATACTGACACTTACAGGAACAACTCAAACAGCAACCCACTATAGACCCAGTTGTACAAGTGCAAATAGCAGATTCAACATACATTCAATTAATGTTTATTTAATCTTAGTCAGTCCAGTGGCAGGGAAGAGATAGTCAAACAGTAATGCAAAACTCGTGGTTGAGGATAAAATTGGTTTCAGGGAAAACAAAAGTTAAAAAGATAAATATAAGCAAGAACCGTAGATTATCAAAGCTTACTGTAAAGTGGATACCCATGCTCTTGCAGCGCTGGGAGTTTCTGCACAAAGAAAGTATTCCTTTTTCTGTGGAGTTCCAATATCTAGAACACTAGTCAAAGAACACATCGAATCAAATCTAGACAAAAGGAGAAGAGAGTAAACATGATAACGCAAAGACACCCCATAAGGATACAGAAACAGCATCCATCGTATTTTGCCAGTCCACTGCACCAAGAGTTTGCACAGGTCATTACAAAGTTTCCACAGCGTACATCCAAAAGTCATGACGAACTGGAACAGAAGTAGGTCCATACTGAAAGTTCATAGGCGATAGCGTCACTGTACTTGTTGAATCAAACAAAATTACTCCCCTAACATCCTTGTCACTCCTACGGACCCTACATAATCCAAAAAATTTTGGTGCCATTCATTTGGTGTCTCAGGTACCGCCTCTTTGGCGAAAAGGGAAACAGCTCTGCAGTTACCGTACTTGTATTCTATCTTCCCAGTTGTTGGATCAAGTATGACCCAGCGCTCATTCCACTTTCTTAGCTGATATATATGAGTAAAATGAAGAAACATCATAAGTGGAAGCGACAACGTGGAATCCAAACAAAAATTGCAATGCTATGAGAATGGAGAACGCCTCAGGACTCGCACATAGACTATATGGTTTATACACTACTACACTAGCAAGGAACTGAATTTGCAAATAAGAGGAAATGACAGTTGACAGGTAAACAATCAACAAATGTTAACTAGAGGCTCGCAACGGTATCCACGGGTCAGCAATAACAGTACATTTTGGCTTTCTAGCTGTTTCCTGCACGCCGAGACAGGGAACATGAACCAAACTGGAATCCAGAAAGAAGGGGAAATGAAGGGAGCGGATTTACCGTGTCGGATCGCTTCAAGAGGGGGCCCTGGAGGAGGTGGCGGGTGGAGGTGGAGGAGAGCTGGCGCCGCACCCGGTCCAAGCTGCTCTGCATCTCGCCCACCACCTGCGGTCCGCTCGACGCAAGAGCGAGGAGCAAGAGAAATTCCCAGCTCCCGGTGAGATCCCAGCTCAAATGATACGGAAACGCAATGGAAAAGGAACCCGCCAGCGTCGGCCGGTAACTGGCTCGATCCGGGGAGAGAAGAAGCGAGGAGATGCCGGACTCACCGTGCTGCTGCTCCCGTTCGAGGCCGTGGCTGCCTGCCGGTGCCGGCCGGACAAGAGGAAGAAGAGGAACCAAACCAAGACCGACCGACGACAGCTCTTTCCATGCGTCTGACTGGAATGATGGCGGGTTACAGTGTACGTGTTCTGGCTCCAGTTACGTATTTCGTATTTCCGCTTCCATCCTTTGCAGACGTACTACCTCTACAGTTGGAGGCGGAACGGGAACGGACACGTGGTCATCAGATATGGATAAGCAGAAGAGGTGATCGGATTGGAGATGGACTTGGAGTCCAGCCGCCGCCGCCGCCTTCCGTCTCCAAGACGTGGCCCGATCAATAAATAGATAGATCCCCAGGGCAATCGATCTCACGACGCCGTGATAACAACGAGAGGAGGAGATCCCCATATCCAATCCGCCGTAATAGCAGCGAATCATCATCGATTTGGAGAAGAGAACTAGAAGCGATCATGTTGTTGTCTAAAAAAGTAGAAGAGAACATGTGCGGCGACGGCGGCGAGGACTGGATTTACCTGCTCTCACAACAGGAGGCGGTGGAGGAGGATGCTGAGGCGGAGCAGGCCGTCGCCGCCACCGACACCACCGCTGCAGGAGAGGAGAACAATAAGCCATCCAAGAACCCGGACGACGCCGGTGAAACCGCCGCCGTCGCCGAGGAGGAGGAGAAGGAGAGCAACGACGAGGAGGAGGAGGCCAGCGCGCAGCCGTCGTCGGAGTTGGACAACAAAGCAGCAGCGCAGTCGTCGGCGTCGTCCAAAGACGGTGGCGCCATCGCGCAGCAGTCATCGTTGGACGACGAAGACCGCCGCGAAGAGGAAGAGGAGGAAGAGTACCCGGACTGGTACACCCCGGAAGAACTAGAAATCGAGAAGGCGTTCCGGGCCTACATGGCGGCTTGCCAGCGCGCCGACGCCAAGATCGACGACGGCGAATATGAGAAGGAGAAGGCGCTCCGGACCTACCTCGCGGCTTGCCAGCGCGGCCGTGTCATGGAGAACCCCTACTACGACCGCTACAACAGCAGCAAAGACGACGACACGTACGCTGCGCCAAGCCGGCGTACCCGTACTACGGCGTGTACGGCAGCAGCTCGTCGGGCCCCGGTTCTCTCGGCCTCGGCTACGGTGGCTACAACTACGGCGAGTCGACGTACCCATACGTGCCGGCTGGATACCGGATGGTGGTGTACCAAGCGCCGCCACCTGCCTTCAGCGCCAGCTTGTACCCGGTGTCGCCACCTCTGGCGTACGTGTACCTGGCCCCCACCCCCGCGCCCGTGTCGATCCGCCGCCCCGGCTCCCACCTCCGCTACTATTATTAGTCATAATTTAAATTCAATTTTTTTAGAGTAGTACAACACAAGATTCAGTTTTTTTAGAGTAGTATACAACACAAGATTATGGATTTGCTGTATCCTTGACTTGCTACTTTGCTAGCTAAGATCGGATGTGTCGAATTTAATTTGGTGGGTCAAGTGTCATATTGTTTTGTGTGCAATGCAAGCTGCAGTTTGGTCTAATTTTGCACGATAATTAACCACCTTGCCATTTGTTCTACTCCACGGCACCATAGTCTATCTAGCCATTGTTTTACCAGGTAACCCCCTTCTGGAGCTTTCGGATACAGGCCCTGTTCGCTTGAAAAGCCGTGGCTAAAAGTACTGTTCGCTGATTTGTTGTGAGAGAAAAACACTTTTTTTTTGTTGAAATAGTACGCCTCATAAGACAAGCGAACGGGGCCATATTTGAAGCTCTTTCGGGCAATCTATGAATTCGAGTATTCGACAGGTTTAAACTTCAGATAGACACTGCGCGCAAGAATAATAAGTAACAAAAAATCGTGGGAACTTCTGAGCAGGCCTGAAAGCCCAGTTTTTTCAGAATTTGTTGAATGACATTTCAACTCCTTTCGTCAGATAACATACTCAACTACGAGCAAATTCATACGGATCACTAGAGTTAACTAAATTGAGGCTCTAAATCTTCCGGGATTCGGCCTTTGGAGTTTGGAGCCCACAAATAATCTGCCTTCGATGGCCCAGAGGTACTCGTGGCCGACGTGGCCCTATTCGGCTAGACTTATTGCTGCTGCGGCTGATTTATAGGGCTAATTTATTGTGAGAAAAAAACATTATTCCCGTAACTGAAAAATAGGATTGATTCTGACTGATAAGCTCAAGCGAACAGGACCGGCCCATAGCAGCGCGGGCCAGTGGACAATGCCGACCCTGTGCCAAAAGACAAGGATCTGTTGCTGTTGTGATGTGGTTCCAACTAAAAAAAATTAGCCATGTTTTTCAACTCCTTTTGGCAGAAAGCATATTCAACTAGAAGCAAATTCATGCGACTAGAGTTAATTAGCTAAACTAGAGTTTAAATTGAGCAATTAAGGGCCTATTTCGATACAACTAGTTGAGGCTAAAAATTAGCTCTAATTAGTTTTAGTTATCCAAACAGGCCCTAATTCGAGAACGTGTCTGTATCGGCCCATAGCAGATGATCGTCTCTTTCTCGGCCCACAGCAGATGAACAGCGGCCGATGAGGCCACTGGTAATCTGCCTCGCCCTGAATCGAGATCGTTTGTCTCGGCCCACAGCAGATGAACAGAGGAATTCGGCCTTTGAGCCCACCGATAATCTGCCTTCTATGGCCCGAGCTAATCGCTGCCGACGTAACCTATTTACCATGGTCAAGTCAACGCTGGGGCCACTGCCGACCCCGTGGTCCCGGTACGCCTAGACCAAAAGATACAAGTAGTGAGGGCTTCCCCTTTGCTTTTCCTAATAGCCCAAAATGCTACGTAGAATCGGATAAAAAATAAATAAATGTTCTATACATGTCACAGTCTTCCAAAAGCTACATAGGCTTAGGAAGAAAGATGGTACGTGCTAAAAAAGAAAACATAGAGAAAATAAAAGTGAGATATGATTAAAGAAAAAAGTTTGTTTGTAAACCACAAGTAGTTATAGTAGTCTTAATATTTTCTAGTCTACGTGGATCACTTTATTTGTACTAGAACTACTAGGAGTGTTAGCCTCTTCGTTCATAGTGCCCTGTGTTGTGAAACGGTGTCTCCGGGCGAGCAAGCATCTGCACACCAACAGACACATCTCTACCGGTGATCTCATCTACGGACAGTTAGGATTAGTAGTAGATTAGCAGTTAATCCCGTCACCAAGGGGCCTGTCCTTTAGTGAACGGTTGTCTCTTGGAGACACCCCTCAAATGTATATAATCCATTTTACAGATCAATGAAAAGCAGTTGTTTCCAAAAACTTGTTCATTACATTCACTGTTTAACACGTTATCAGCACTGCTCTACTGGACAAGCGAATTGTTGAGAAAATTCCCTTTTTCCGTCCGGATTGTACTACACATACATCAAACCCGTACTGCATGTTGCGTACAAGGTAATTTTTCATATTGTTGACGCGTTCAAAATTTGGCATGAACGCCTTGGCCATCCTGGTATAGGGATGATGCGAAAAATTATCAGCAATTCTAAAGGTCATGAGTTAATTACTGCTAAATTCCCGAAATCTTCAGATTTTATGTGCACTTCATGCGCTATAGGGAAATTGATCATATGGCCATCGCCGTTAAGATCCAAAATGAGCCACTAAAATTTCTTGAACGCATTCAAGGAGATATTTGTGGCCCCATACAACCAATGTCTGGACCGTTCAGGTACTTCATGGTTCTAATAGATGCATCTACTCAATGGTCTCATGTGTGTCTTTTGTCCACACGTAACCATACTTTTGTAAAAATTATTGCTCAAGTTATTAAACTTAGAGCACATCATCCTGAACATCAAATTCAATCAATTTGAATGAACAATGCTGCTGAATTTTCCTCAAAGGTTTTTAACGATTATTGTATGGCTTTGGAAATTCAAGTTCAGCACTCTGTCCCATATGTCCATACACAAAATGGTTAGCAGAATCTCTTATTAAGAGAATTAAACTCATTGCAAGACCGTTATTACAAAATTGCAATCTACCAACTTCATGTTGGGGTCATGCAGTCTTACACGCTGCTGACTTAATTCAATTACGACCAACTGCATATCACGTAGTCTCCCCATTGCAATTAGTACGTGGGAATATGCCAAATATTTCCCATCTGAGAAAATTGGTTTATACCAGAGATACGTGATCGATCTCACTGCCTAAGCGTACTTCTATGGGTCCACATAGGAAACTTGGTATCTATGTGGGATATCAATCTCCATCAATTATCAAATACCTCGAGCCTCTTACAGGGGACTTATTCACGGCCCGATACGCTGACTGCATATTTAATGAGGACCATTTCCCGGCATTAGGGGGAGATTTCAAGTACCAAAACGAATGCCAGGAAATCATCTGAAATGCCCAAGGCATTCCCCTCTCAGATCCACATACTCTAGAGACTGAACAATAAGTTCAGAAAATCATAAACTTGCAACATATTGCAAATAACCTGCCGGAAGCATTTACTGATTATAAGGGTGTCACTAAATCCTCTTATCATGCTCGCAATGCGCCCGAAAGAGTGGAGGTACCAATAAAAACCATTCAACTCCCACTTCCAAAGAAGAGGGGGAGAAGTACGGCCGCTCCTAAGGATAATGCTACAAGTAAGTGTCTGAGGATATCGAGGGCTAGATCCTCCAAATCAGTAAATCCAAGCCAACCTCAAGTTGGTAGACACCCAATAGTGGATAAAAATCCAACATCAGGACCAAATCCACAACCCGGATCAACGGTGCATCCAAATTTTGATCCTGGGATATCGGAACACTCTGACTCCATAGTTTTGGGAAATGTTGAGTCAAATAATGGGGTGAAAGAAATTTCCATCAATTACATAGATTCTGGAGAATCATACGATCGTAAGACTACTGTTGTCGACATGTACTTCTCCGCAGCAATTGCAGAAATCTTTCTCAATGATCCAGATCCCAAGACCATGGCAGAGTGCAAAAAGCGCTCGGACTGGGCTCAATAGAAAGAAGCAATTCAAGCTGAGATAGCTTCGCTCACTAGAAGAGGGGTATTCACATTTGCAATACCTACACCTTCCAAAGTCTTTCCTGTAGGCTTTAAATGGGTTTTCGTGTGGAAACGGAATGAGAACAATGAGGTGGCGAGATATAAAGCGAGGCTAGTAGCACAAGGGTTCACGCAGAGACCCGGCATTGATTACAATGAAACTTATTCTCCAGTGATGAGTGGAATTACTTTCCGATACTTAATATCATTGGCAGTTCAAAATCATCTATCTATGCAGTTGATGGATGTGGTGACAGCATATCTATATGGGTCACTTGATTCGGACATATACATGAAGGTTCCCGATGGAATCCAAATTCCGAATCCAAACGCAAATCGCAACATGTATTGTGTAAAACTACAAAAGTCATTATATGGCTTGAAGCAGTCGGGACGAATATGGTACAACCGACTGAGGGAATTCCTTCTAAAGAAAGGATACTCTAACAATGATGATTATTGCCCATGTGTTTTCATTAAGAAATCTCGAACGGGATTTTGTATTATATCCGTGTATGTTGATGATTTAAATATCATTGGCAGCCCAAAGGATATAGATGAAGCACGCAAACATCATATATTAGGTATTGATGATGTTACACGAGTAAATTAATATCGTCTCTCTAGTACATTGAGAACAAACAAATAACATCATATATATTTATAAAAAAACAAATAACACCGTATATCCAATACGATGTATACTATATACATCGGCATCGATACAATTGTTTTGACAACATAATACATCTAGGAAACTCTATAATTAATAAGGCCGATCTATGGGATATGTATATTCTCTCTGTATAAGAACCTAGCACCTGCCATGCAGGTCCCACATGTCAGTTTGGCGTTTCGTTGGCGGGTTTCGTTCTCTGCTGTGGTGCTGCGTGGTGTGGTGGAGCTGCAGTGGACTCCCAACCAAAAAATCTAGCATGCACAGAACGAAGAACGAACAATACAGCCTCCTGCAAGTCTCCTAGGCATATGATCTAGTGTCATAGATGGAGAACACACTGGGGCTGGGGTCCGTCAGCTCCATCACCATATCCTGCCAATGTCGTCCCAGCTGGACCCATCATTGTAGTACATGTCGTGTAGCCCACCGGCAGCAGGGCTACTGAGCACCCGTGGTGGAACGCGGCCATCGTCGGTGACGGCAGCGGCGCCGTGGCCGCTGCATGCAGCGCGTGGCCGTTCCACTGGGCCTGCTGAAGCTGCTGCTGCTGCTGCTGGCCGTAGCCGTAGCCGTAGTCGTAGTCGTCTATCACCGCCGGAGCTTGCAGCGGGTGCTGTGGCAGGTCGTTCGTGTACTCGTCCCCGGTGTTGGACTCGAGGCTGCCGGTGACGGAGCTAGACTCCCCGGGCTGCACGACGACGGCCGCGGCGGCGGACACCTTGCTGCCGGCGACCTGCTGTTGCGGGTGCTTCTTGTAGGTGAAGTTCCTCCTGAAGATCCGGCAGATGGTCCACACCTCCGCCTCTTGCTCGCTGGGCGAAGTGTGGGCACTCTCGGCGCGCGGCGGGAGGCGGAACTCGTGCATCATCCACTCCGTCTTGGTGCCCTTGCCGGCGCTGCCGCGGTAGAACACAAGCGACTTCTTGAGGCCGATGGGGTCGCCGGCGCGGCCGGAGGCGGCGGAATGGATGGGGCGGTCGATGCCCGTGGCCTTCCAGAAGCCGGAGCCGGTGACCCTGTTGGGCCTGATGCTGTTCCTGTACTTCCTCCCCCGCAGGCAGAAGAAGTACCATTCTGCCTTGTCTCCCGAGATCGAGCTCGACTCTGGATACATGCATGCATCAGTGATCAGTTATCCATCATTATATTGCTCCAAAGTCCAAAGTTTATATCTCCAATCCAAGCAACAATTTTTATCTGTTCATTCAGTTCATGCATGAATTATTTGTTGCAAGCATATA